CGATTTCAGAATGACACCTTCCACCATTTTATTAATATCTATTGATTGGATGATTCAAATCCAATTCGGCAAGTTGTGGTGAATAGAGGACTTCATTATCTACAACTTTCATGAAGGAAGTTTTGTCAAATTCGGAACAGAAAAGGCCAGGTACGGTCGTGCTTGGGAGATAGGCACGCCATGCCTGAAGAAGAACTCGGTACCTAGCTACTGGAGGCCAGGCATGATCGTGACTGGAGGGAGCCATGACCAGGCTTACCCAAAACGTGAGACTTTACTCTGGAGGCACGGTCGAAGGCTCGGTCGAAGGCACAGTTGTGCTTGCCTCCGGAAATCCCGATTTGAGCCGTATTTGGACTGTTTTCTTTAAATAAGGTCTCCATACTCACATTTTGTGGTTACGAACATTACGGAGAGTCCTAGGGATGAATTTATCTGCATTTTGACCATTGTTTACTCCAATATCTTGGGATTATTTGTAAGTTCAATTTTTAATTAATGACAATTAATTTCATTCTTTCCAATTCTGTTGATTCTTCAGTTATGAATTGTGAGTAGTTTAATTAGGGATTTGGGATTGATGAAGGGGTTAATCATGATGTATGGCTAGATTCTTGTTGGATTAATTGCATGAATGCCGTTTAATTTGTGTTTGAATAATTTAACTGATATCTCTTGTAACCTAGACTGCAGCTATAATTACAATTGCATGTAGAATAAATTAATAGAGATCTAATTTGTTATAGGACACATTCACACACACTTAATCGTTCACTAAGAGATTAGTAGCGATTAAGGGGCCGTAAGCTCGCTCGTTTTGACAATAATTTAGGATCCTGTCACGCTGCGAGAGCGGTAAGAACTTAGTAATTACTCCTGATATGCTAGAAATCTGGTTACCCCGGAATCAATCCTTGTTCCCTTTGTCATTAATTAGAGAGAAACCAATCTTTTATTTTGATCGCTCATTCGCATTAGTTTAATTTCAATTCAACCAATCAATCTCGTACATCACATTTTTATTATTATTTATTTTCATCGCTGAATTTAGTTAATTCTTATTTCCCTTTTGTCCGTCCCTGTGGAGACGATATTCGTACTTTCAACCACTTTTCTACACTTTTTAAGTGCGAGAAAACTCACATCAGACGGCAACACCCAGCGGCTAAAAGCCCTAGGACGGCAACGAATTTAACATGAAATCATGCATGTATGCGAGTGCGGAGTGCCGATAGTAGCACTCAGCAACGGAGGGCGGCGGTAGACTGCTCTATGGCGTGGACCGATATGTGATTATAAAGTTCTTAAAAAATCTGATAACTATAATAGTTTTTGGACCAATTGTATACTCGCAGGATTGAAAGTGGAATACAATTTATTCTTATCAATATGATGATGTAAAACATTTTAGTTAAATGTATGAACGTGATTGCTCTTTCCCTAAATAATTTTGAGCACCCGTATTTTCTTTCTTTCAATTTTACTCCATATTTGGACGAGAAGTGTAAGTCTAATGTTGAACTGTTCAATTGTTCTGATGTCTTGAACTGTTAAGCATTCCACAATCCACAACTAAAATGTGCTCAATCTTTTGTGGTGTTTAAATCATATGAAAATGAAAAGGTCTTGGTTGAATCTATAATCACACTGGCCAAAAGAAATGCTATAATTAGTATGCTGTTAACATATAAAAAAGGATTTTTTGATATGCAATACACAAAAGGACAAAGGCAGGCCTTCAATATAGGACATCCTCAATATAATTTAGTATTTATTCTTGCACCAAATTCTGGAATATCATATCACCCTTGAACAAAATACCATATTACTCCTTAATCTGCACATTCCATGGAAGAAGAAATTTCCATATTTATATAAATCAATTTTGTAAACTTGTGTAATTACTATTTTTTTTTCTACTAAACAAAATTGATTCCATCTACATTTGGGCAGAGATCTTAAATAACACTCTTTAAGGCATTGTAAAATTGAATTTGTGTTCATAAGAAGGAAGTATTACAGAAAGTAACCAGTTTTACAAAGATTGTTGCAGGTAATGATGTGAACTATTGTTGAGGCCTTTTATGTACGATTGTTCCATCAGTTCGGGTGCAGGTAGTATATTGTTAGGCGGACTTCAACCACCAAATCAGCCCCTCCATCAACAACCATGCTTAGGATACACTTTTGTACACAGATTGTTCAACTAAATATTTAAATATAAGGTCACATTCTCTTATCGTCTTTCATTTTTATATTCATACTTTTCCCCTCATTTTCTCAATTTCTATTTTCACATTTTCTTTCATTCTTCCTGCCTCCATTTTCACACTTTATGTCACAGTCAAAATTCACATGAGCAATGTCACAGTCAACATTTTTCTTATCTCACTTTAACTTTCATTTTCTCAATTTCCATCAACTGCTCATTTTGTATATATGCATCATGATGTATCATTTTGCCCTTTTCACACTTTTATAAACTTTCTGGAATTCTACTCCTTAGTTTAATGGACTGAATAAACGGGACATTCTCATCTCCGGTACTGTTCACTCGGTTGCTACGGACCATCAGAGAATTAATTTGGCACGGACCACTCGGTGGCTACGGACCCATATAGGAGCGCACATATATCAAATATGTAGTATCCTGATTTGGGTGTTGTCCACTCGGTGGCTACAGACCCGAAATCATTGATCAAACTCTGCGACCGCGTTAAGATCCCTATTAGCATGCCAACCTATCCAAATCTAGGAACAAGGTTTCAAATTACATTTGTTTTAAATCTAGGAACAAGGTTTCAAACTATGCGACCGCGTTAATGATCCCTATTCGTTTTTCTTTATTTTACTAGTTTTTGTAACGCGCTATGCGCGAATGGGATTATGCCCAATGTACTTTATACAAAACAAATACTCCCTCCGTCCCGTTGGAATGTTCCCGTTTTGACCTACATACATATTAAGGAAATAAACTTACGAGGGGGTAAATTTTACTGTTTTGACACTGTTTGGACACTGTTTGGCACTGTTTTGCACTGTTTGACACTTTTTTGATGTAGGATAAGTTTCCATTTAGGAAAATGGGAACTTCTTTTTGGGACATCCAAAAAAGGAAAGCGGGAACATTCCAACGGGACGGAGGGAGTATATAGTTGTACTCCCTTAGTCCCTCCGTCCTTCTAACTTTGTCCCGTTTTACCTTTTCCGTCCATCTCATTAAGTTTGTCTCATACTATATTTGGTAATATTTGAGTGGTTAAAATTCATTCTTATTTTGTTCACACTTTATTAATTCAATATCAACCACACAATTCCACTTTTTCTTAAAAATCACACCACACCCCTTTGTTCCAAACTTAGGGGAACAGATGTAGTATTTTTTTAACTCGTATAGTATATGCAAATGAAAGAAAATATATAGGGAGAGAGTTTAAGAAATATTCAAGTTGTTTAAATATGAACTTAGGACCATAGTTTGTTCTACGTTGGAACTCACAACTTCGATAATGTACTATTTTAGTTTAAACAAAGTGTCACATAGAATCACTTGTCTGAGTAAGCAAATCTCTCAAGTCCCATATGAAGAAAACACTAATTTTTGAAATTAATGAATTTAACTTCAACTGGATACGAAATTTAGTGGAATCTATTCGAGCCTAAGATTTTTTTTTAATATAGCACAAATAAAATAAGTGGATATTAAAGTTTCTACTTTTCATGCTGCTGGATATTAATAGTTTGTTTATTTCTAAAAAATATTATAATTTGTAATTTTGAAACATAAAGTTTAGTGGGTGTCTTACCAAGCTTAGAAAATGTTTATTAGTATGTCGTCTTAGCATGGTGTTATATTCTTTTAATGACAAGCTTTCAGGTACTGATATATATATTAAGAAATATCTTTTTCCTTTAAAAACTAACAACATGCTAAGACTTAGAGCCTGTTTGGTGACCATATTTTTCGGCTTATCAGGTTTATTAGCCAACTTTATCATCAAACACGTAACTTTTGATTTCACGCGCTTAATTGTGTAATAATAACAAAAAGTAAGGTTGAAGTTACTTTTCTGACTATATTGGCTGAAGTAACTGGAGAGAATCATATATTTTAGATGTTTTTCATGTATTTGTTCTTTATTTCATTAATAAAAATATGTTTTAAATTTTTTTTTTCTTAAATCAGCAAAATCAGCCAATACATTAACTTCAACCAGAACTCCATAGAATTCAGCAGAATCAGCCAATACATCCGGTTTGGGTATTACCAAACGGACTCTTATTAGTGATAAATAAAGGTATTTTAGGTATGTTCTCATATGTAGAACAATACGTACTTGGTTGAGTGGTGTTTGTAAGCAATACGTACTGCCTGAGGATTTAGAGAATTGTGTCCTAATGAATCCCTTGGGCTATTTTTATTGAAATATTTAAAACGATTGGATTCACAATCACACTAAAGAATTACTCCGTAAAATATTATTTAAATCAAAATAAATGATTGGAGTACAAACTAAAGGACAAACAGGTAGACAAAAACGATTGGGATTCATGTTAATTAAACTTAACGGAAAGCAACAGTATAACACCATGCAAACGATATATGAGGGCTGAAAAGGTCAAGTGAGTTAAAACGTACAAGTAATTATGCATAATGAACAACACCTTATTGCTTCTTAATTACACCAACATTTTTCTCATGTCTCTTACACCCTTACTCTCATTGGTGTTTATAATTTTTTAAGATTAAGATTAATAAAAAGTATTTTAAAAATAATTTTTTATTAAATCAGCAGAATCAGCCAATACAGCTACTTGAGTCAGGACTTCATAAATTTCAGCAGAATCAGCCAAAACAGCTAATTTTCATGCTACCAAACGGGCTCTAGGATTGTGAACAAAATCCGCTTTTAAAAAAATGAACTTTCTAAATACCCAAACAACAGATCGGCCCGCATGTCTTAAGGAGATCAGCAAGGCGCGTATGCCTTGAACAAACAGGCCAAGCAGGCGGGTAAGGCCCGCATGCCTTAAACGCCTGGCCTATTCCCATCAACACCATCCTCCATCAGTTCGGGTGCGGGTAGTATATTGCTAGGCGGCTTCAACCACAATATCATCCTCTTCCTCCGCCCCCTCTTCCTTGTTCGCATAATCCACATGACGACGGCCGGACCTTTTCCAGAAGGGCAACGCAATATATTGGTGACAAGTGCGCTACCCTATGTGAATAACGTGCCTCATCTGGGCAATATAATAGGGTCTGTGCTGAGTGCCGATGTGTACGCGAGGTTTTGTCGCCTGAGGGGCTATAACGTCTTGTACGTTTGCGGTACGGACGAATATGGAACCACCACTGAAGTCAAGGCTAAACAAGAGAATCTAACACCGCGGCAGATTTGCGACAAGTATCATACGTTGCACAGGAAGATTTACGAGTGGTTCGACATCAGCTTTGATCACTTCGGCAGAACATCTACCCCAGAACACACCGTGCTTTGTCAAGACGTGTTCAACTCACTGAATCGCAACAACTTGCTAAAGGAAAAGACAATTGAGCAGGTTTTCACATCCCTTAGCCGCCCATTTATACTCGGTTTATAACTTCTTCTGGGTTTCATCATGTTTCTAGTTGGGTTGTAGGTGGTAGGAGCACTTCACGTAATTGCTGGTTCTCTTGTTGTGTAATTGCTATCCCCGTTCGATTGTTGCATATGCTTTGGCATGTAGGGAGTCGCTAATTTAAGACGAAAATAGCTTGCATTCCATTTTGGTGTTGGTTTGCATTCCATTTTGATGGCTTTGATTTTGAGTGCATATGATTTCAGCAACCTAATTTCGCTTATGAATATTTTGTTCCCAATTGCCTATTCAGTAATTGCTGGTTCTCTTGTTGTTTAATTGCTATCCGCGTTCGGTTGTTGCATATGCTTTGGCATGCCGGAAGTCACTTAATTAAGACGAAAATAGCTTGATTTCCATTTTGGTGACTTTGATTTTGAGTGCATATGATTTCAGCAACCTAATCTCGCATATGAATAGTTTGTTCCCAACTGCCTATTCATTTACCCATGTCCCCCACTTTTATTCCTTACTCAAAGAAACATCAACCGGTTTGACATAGTCATCTTGTTTACAGAATCCCTTCATAATCCCTTCAAGGTTTTGTGTGCAGTGCAATTTCCTCCCTTGATGAAATTATTATGATTAATATTATTTATCAGTTTGTTTACATGGATTTCTTCTTAATAATTGCGAGTAGCAACAATACTCACCATTTTTTTCTATGCCATCAGTTGTATTGTGAGGGATGCTCAATGTTCTTGGCAGATACTTATGTTCAAGGCAACTGCCCTCGCTGCCTTTTGTCATGCAAAGGCGACCAGTGCGAGTCCTGCAGTGCGTTTCTGAATGCCCGAGATTTATTAAACCCCATATGCACGGTATATTTATTTCTTATTCTTTGTCTTTTTTTGTTTAATTTGTATCATTAGTCCGTAACTTTCCACTTCCCTAATTGCTAATCCATCTCCAATGACAGATTTGCCATAGTTCAAGCTCAAGCCTTCTGCTTCGCAGCCGAGACCATCTTTTTCTAGAACTTGATTCTGTGAAGGGGGACTTGCAAGGCCATTTCAAGAAAATGTCATTTTCAAATCAACAATCAGAAAGGGACACACAGAAGGTTCTTGATGCCGAGCTCCGGTCAAAGTGCATCACACGTGATCTTCAATGGGGGGTTCCAGTTCCCATTGATAAATTCAAAGACAAGGTATATCATAGAACTTGACCATTGTCTTATTCAAATGGACACGTGTTCCCAGACTGACTTCGTTTTTCCTTTTATTTTTATTTTGGTACTAGGTTATGTATGTTTGGTTTGATGCTCCCCTCGGTTATGCCTCCATAACAAAGTGTCACATGCTTGAGTGGGAGCTGTGGTGGAAAAATCCACAAAATGTCGAGCTACACCAGTTCATGGGTAAAGACAATGTCCCATTTCACACGGTAAGCATTTCTTTTGTCTCCATTTCTTCTTGTACTTACTATGTTGCCCTATAGCCAAAAATAAGAAGCAAATCTTCTCGATGTTGTTAATTACGTAACCATCATCCTTGCTTCAGGTTCTTTTCCCTGCATATTTAATTGGTACTGGGGATAACTGGACCCTTCCTCACGCGATACATGCAACTCATTTCCTTTTATTTGGAGCAGGTTCCTTCTTGACTCGTCTGGTTTTCTATAATAGTTTGGTTTGCTCTTCCTAGATGACATCATTTTCCTTCTTTTCTCTGTTGTTTTTTATTTCACTGTCGTTCTATTGGTGATGCCTTCTGTAGGAAAATTTTCTAAGAGCAAAGGTGTTGGTGTTTTTGGTGATGATGCAATTAGAACTAATATACCCGCAGAAGTTTGGCGATACTATCTCATTTCTCTTAGGCCTGAGGTAAGATTTCCTGGTCGCTTCTCTCTCTCTCCCACACACACATTCAACAGGCTAAAAGAGTATGCATGTTTTAAGACCAGTGAGCAAAAGCATGCTGCACCTTCTCTCATTACTTACATGTACCCCTGTTAATTTACTAGTTACATTAATGATGAATTCCATTTCCAGACAAATGATTCTACTTTTTCCTGGGAGGATTTTCAAGCCAAACTTAACAATGAGCTTACCAATAATTTGGGAAACCTAATCAACCGCGTGCTGTCCATTGTTGCCAAGCCCCCTGGTAAAGCTATATGTCTGTTACTCCTGTCTTTGCGCTTTCTTACATCATTTATTTTGTTTCTAACATTATGGTTGTACACTCCCTGTCCACTATTGTTTGTCAATTTTTTTGGTTGGACTTCGTGAAATGTTGGTCTATTTTCTGACTTAGTTTTAAAAAGCGCGTCAGCACAACGCCGGAGTAGGGGATCAGGACATTGCATTGCGGACCACTGGGCGCAATAGTACCTATAGGTGCGCCGCATCTGCCGCTTTTTACAGCTTTATGCGCCTCTTGGAATTTGCCTTCGCTGGCGCCTCTGGGATAGGTGTCAAATAGTTTGTCTGGGTGACATTTGCTACTTTTCAATAAATTTCGTACAAGCAATATAATGATGGGGTAAAGTTCCCAGGCTCCATCAAACTCTCCTCTCTATTCTTACGCTTCTCTCTATGTTTTCCCTGTCTTCCGCTGCTTTGTAATCTTCCACTCCTGTCTCGCAGCTGCAAGTGTTTTATTATGTTTTTCCCGTTTTAATCTTGTTTGCTTTTTTCTCTTAAGCTTTTAAATTTATCCGATACTTTAACTTTCTAAATTTATCAGGCAGTTTATTTGTTTTAATTTTTTTGGCTTGAGAATATGATGAAATAAAGGAAAACAGCTCACTAAATTGTTTGCGCTTCTTTGTTTTAAAGCAGCAGTCAATCCATCAATTTTCGATGCGATGTTCATCAATATATGAATATACATATATGTATGTATGTATGTCATATATATAATTTACAATAGAGTTATAATTATATGTTGAATAAAATTCATAAATAATTATCATAGTAAGTTGTTTACAAAAATATTGATCATACCAAATACTCTAGGTATTACTACGTATAATTTATACGTACTCGTTATAGTAAAATAATAATTATCATATTAAACATAAATTATAGTAAGAACTTACAGTAAATTAAAAAATGATGATTATATAGTAAAGTACCTAGTGGTTCCAGTGGCTTACTATTAGAATAGTAATTGTGCATGTGTGTCATATTCTGTCTTTTTTCGACCTTCCAAGTTCCGACAAGTAGTAGCTATTGAATCGACTCAAGATAACTATGAAGAAGTTGACACAAAAGAGTAAGCTTGCATGCGTTTCACTCATTTTTCCGACCTTTCAGTTTTTTTTTTTTTGCTGGCGATTTCAAATCCTAAAGTATTCCAAATTTTCCGACATTCATTCGCTATTAGATTGCTTTTGACAGTGATTCCACGAAATTATGGTTCTGCGCAGCGATATCATCGATCCAGGTACTTTTACGATTTCGAGTAAACCCGGGATCATAGAAAGGAGTAGAGCTCGTATAATCGTACAATCATACGTGCAAGATCGCGATTTTGACTACCTTCTGAGGGAAGAAGAAAAATTACCTGAAGACTTTCAATTGTAAGAAGTTGGGCAGACTATGAAGTTGGAAGTGTTTTTAAAAATTTGTCTGACATCTTTGTGCGAATGAAGACTTCTTTGTGTGGAGTTTGTAAATATTATACTTCAATAGAAATATATGTTAGGGTTTTAATGAAACAAGACTTGTTAGGGTTTAAGTGAAGTGTCTTGTTAGGGTTTTTTTTTGGTAAAAGTCTTGTTAGGGTTTAGTTTGGACTTTGGACACATGTTTGATTTATGGTCTGTTTATTACATGAAATACATTGGACGTTTTAAAGTTACGACTTATTTAAAATGCAGAAACAAAGGTAAACTGCCTAAAGAAAACGCCTCAAGGGTAAGCCTTAACTTTTGAGGCTGAAGTCTTGATAGGATCCTCCAGAATTCACAACAATCCAAGGAGAAATTGTAAAACAAAATCAAGAAAACAAAGAAATTTTATTATCGATGAACCAGTAACAATGGCCGAAGCCCCCAAAGAAAGAGAATATTAGTCTCAGTCTTCCCAAGTCCCAAGACAAACTGTCCAAAAGCCTCCTTTCTAACTCCCCTTTCATCTCTATTTATACTACAATACTCAGACCCTTATTACTAATATTATTATTATTATTATTATTATTATTATTATTATTATTATTTCTAATAATAGTCTAATACTCTAATAGGCTAGTTCCTATCAATACTCCCCCCTAAACATCCACCTTGCCCTCAAGGCGGGTGATAGGAATCAGCCACAATCTTCTGCTTCCTCTTCCTCTTCCTCTTCCTTGTTCCTCTTCCTTCCCAATATTTAACTGGTTGATGGACTAAGAACTTTAGTACGAGATCTTTTAAGATCACAGAACTTTCAGCAGCATAAAGTGAACCTTCTTTTGGTTCAATCACCTTCCCACACTCCATATCAAAAGTTATTTCTTCACCTTTCTGCAGCTCTTCACGACTTCTATGTTCTAAGATTAAAACTGTACTGGATGCGAACTCCTTTATGTATCTTTCAGCTTCTCCCTCTATCAAATATTTACCTACCTCATCTGATAAGGAAAATCTTAAAGGGTTTAGCAAGCAAGTAATGATATGCATTATTCCAGCTGCAGTTCTCCTAACTAAAGAACAGGAAATATTATTTCTCATGTAAGACTTCCAAAATTGGCGTCCTCGCAGGTAATCAGATTCTTCACCAGAAGTAAACAATGCTATTTTCAAGCCTTCTTTCACTTTCATCTGTTCCTTAGTTTCAATATCTTGTTCCACATAACTTCCTGCCATTTTCTCCTTGATATAACCTGTAATTCTGAGCTCTCCAGTCACATAATCCACATCTAAGTTGTCAGGTGAGTCACAACTAATTGGACCCTTCCCACTCAGATGCACAATAGCAGAAGAAACAACTGGGGCATGTTCTTGATGTTCCTTCGAATTATAAGGTGCTGAAAGTCCCTCTTCAACCTGGTTTTTGAAAATGGCTTTAAACATACTAGAAGAGTGCATCCCAATAGTCAATTCTTGATTGTACACTGCTGTTTCAGCCTCTTTATCATCCATAACCAGTCTTTCTCCACTCATAACATTCATCCAAGTTGGTGAACTTCCATGTGAGCTCAATGCCTCAATTTGAACATTAGCATATGATTCCCCAGAAAGATGATAAACACAATCCTCAAAAACAACTAGACCATATCTCTTTTGTTCCAGGGAATGTAAATCCACATTGTTTGCAACATTAGGAGAAACATAATCTGGCCATTGGATAACCTGTCTTTGCTCTTCGATTTCTTCCTTGTCATTCATTTTCTGGAATACAGATTTATTTGTCTCCATCTCAATCTCCTTTATTGACTGGAAAAAAAATTTCGCAGGTTGAGAAACAGCTTGTGACCAAACTGGCCAACCAGAAGATTCCCTTCTTGATCGCGATGCCTTATTATGAGAGTTGAACGCGGATGGGGATGTTTGCGTATTGAGACCATATGTTGTTGTTCGCTGCCTGCTTAACAATGATTCCTGCGAACTGAATGAAGAAGTTCTTGATTGCGAACTGGAAGAAGTTCTTCGTGACTTCGATGAATCTCGGCTTTCTGTCTTCCCTGTCTTCGGCCGGCGTTTAGGTGGAAAATCCCTAATCAAGTCTTCCTTTAGAGCCTTCCAACTATCTTCCCTCTTTTGATACTCCCACCACCATTTAAACCAGCCACACGCGGCTTCCCCCATAGCCTCTTCTGCGACGTCCACTTTGAATTTTTTCTGCAATAGCTTGAACTCTGAAATATTTTTCCATCTTCTCTATCCATTCATACGCTTCATCCTCATAGAATAGAGGTAATTCCTATGTCTGTGCACTAGCTGACTTCCGAGAATTGACTTTAGGCGAATAAGGCGCACTCTGATGCGAAGAGCGATGATAAGAGGAGTGATGAGCAGAACTCTGCGAAGAGCGACAAGAGCGATGTGAAGAATTCTGCGACTGTGAACAGTGATCAGTAGTTCGCGACTTCGTCTGGGACTCCATCGGTGATATCGGCTCATGGCTGATGTTCTTCGATCGATCTCCAGGTCTTCTGCGAAGACTCTGTTCTGCCGATTCCTCTGAGTCAATCGGATGTTGCGTACGTCGATGATGAGAGTCGCGATGCGACCTACGCGAAGTGAGCGATCGATTCCGCGAACAACTTTGAAGTCGGTTCTGCAAATCTGCGAAGCAAGCTTGCATCGCCGCTTCCATCGCGGCTATATTCATCGCTATATTATCTTGCATCTCCTTGGTCTTTCGATTCAGATTTTCAATTCTTTCTTCCATTTGTGGCGTCATGTAGAAATCCTCCTCCATGCTTCAGATTCTGTCTCCAGGAAGTACGTGCTCTGATACCAATTGATAGGATCCTCCAGAATTCACAACAATCCAAGGAGAAATTGTAAAACAAAATCAAGAAAACAAAGAAATTTTATTATCGATGAACCAGTAACAATGGCCGAAGCCCCCAAAGAAAGAGATTATTAGTCTCAGTCTTCCCAAGTCCCAAGACAAACTGTCCAAAAGCCTCCTTTCTAACTCCCCTTTCACCTCTATTATACTACAATACTCAGACCCTTATTACTAATATTATTATTATTATTTCTAATAATAGTCTAATACTCTAATAGGCTGGTTCCTATCAAGTCTCTTGACTAGAGAAAAAACTAAGCCCTGATATACCCAATCTGTGCACCTCACCTTGAGGCACGCCTCAAAATCTCCCCGGTAAGCGCCTTTTTAAACCATGTTATATCTATGGTATTTAATGCGAGATTGTGTAAGAAGTCATGGAGGAGGACTTAGAAGTGACCGAAGATGAAAGAAATGATGATGTTGTGCTTGCTCCTCATGAGAATGAGGATGATGACAATGATGAATTCTAGGCACATGAGCTCACTATTTTGTTTCTGAGTTTGCTACTTTGCCTTGTAATTATGTTATGTACTTTTGGTATTGAGCCCTGTGACTGTTTTTTGGCGTTTAATGTTACTTGTTACAGTTCGAGCAAATAATTTGTTCTTGTTGTGACGGATTTCGGTGTTTATTAAGCTTGTTTAATGGCTTAAGGCGTTCTCATGATTTTATCATTTTTTTGGTAAGAAGGTTTCATGTAGAATTAGTATATTTTAGTTTTCCCAAGTTATGTAGTTAAGTTCCTTAAGACGTGTGCCTGTGCCTCTGGTAAATTTAGCCAAAAACGCCTCATGCTGCCTAACGCGTTTTAAAACAATGGTTTATGATAATAAAAAGTGCGATTTTGATGTTCCACAGATCTTAATGATGATCCGTGGGGATGTGAAAGACGTGGGTAACATTAATGATGATTTCTTATTTTCCACCTAACCATGAAACATGATAGTGTATGGACGGCGATATCCAGAAAGAAATTGAGATGGTCGTTTTAATTTTAAGCTTGGTTTGTTTAATTCAGATGTACCTGTGCTTTAATGCAAGTGATAAGATGTTTTTTTCCTTGAGGAACTCTTGAACAAATATCGTTAAAGACAAGGCTTTGGGATCATGTAATTAGCCTTCTTTTTTTACAGGCAAAGGATATGACTTCACTGTCCCAGATGTCTGTGCTGTTCTTAGTGAGATAGACTCTGACTTTGTTGCTAACCTTAAATGCTACATGCAAGAGTATCTCAAAGCCTTGGAGAAGGTAGGATTTGTTACTACCCCAATTAACCTGATGGTGGTTTTTCTGCAAGAAACCAGAAATTAGCTTCTCTAATAACTTGCTATTCATATCCATAATTCCTGCGCCTTAATGTAGGCTAAGTTGAAGGATGGTCTAAAGGCTGCCATGTCTATTGCGAGTGAAGGAAATCGATATTTCCAGGTAATAGCAAGGTCTTGTATGGTTGCACATATATTGTTTATTTACTTCTCATGTTGGCCTGTTGTTTTCCTGAACGACTGATGTTTTGCTGTCACTAATATACATCATAGAAAACGGAAGTTTGGAAGATTTACAATGAAGATAGGCTCAGGTGTTCTTTAGTCGTCAAAATTTTACTGGGAGTTGTTTGCATTCTTGCATCCGTGCTGCAGCCATTTATGCCGTCATTTACTATAGAGGTACGCAATGTATGTTGGGGTTTGGGTCATGCTGTCTTGGACCTTGTTTTTTCTCTCACTACTTGTGTGCTTGTCCTTATGTGGCTTACTTAAAAGAGCACCCTTCCAACTAAGTAATTTTCTAGTAGTCACAAATGTGTGCTTTTAACCCAAGTAAAATAATATAAATCTCAATATATATGGAAACATTAACATACTATGTATAAATATTGGATGTTGAAAATGTGCTTCTATCTTTTCACAAGTAATCTTAGACAGGTTATATATTCATTGAGCAATTAAACTTGTTGAGGGCAATTTTAGGTATTGAGGCAACTGAACATGGAAGCTCATGAGTTTACACTTCATGACAAAGATATTGAAAGGGCTCAAAAGCCATGGGAAATTGTTCCTGCTGGCCATAAAATTGGGAAGCCAAGTGTTTTGTTTAAAAAAATGGTATGACACGTTTATCCTTCTCTTTTCTCCTTTTCAACCATATGCCCCTTTATCTGAGTCTCTTCCATCAATTGCTTCCCCTTGTTCAGGACAATATTTCTCTCAAAGATTTAGAGAGAAAATTCCGAGGCAGCCAGACGTGCTAGCAATCAGCATGATAACGCACTTGAAAATAAGCAAGTGTTAGGTAAATTATATTTCCTTCTGCACTTGGTATCCTGCAGAATTTTAAAAAAGTGTGGTACATGTTTTACACTATAGATGTATGCATTTTTCTGGTGGCCCTGCAGGCCTTAAAATTACTAATCTATCTTGCAAACTTTGTATTCCATCATATCCTATTATTTTGATCATGTAGCTTGTCACTAATGTTTTTTTATTATTATTAACAGGTGAAAGGCAAGTAAAGGGAACTAAATATTTTTTTATGGAGCTATCAAATGTTAGCTCCAAGTGTCACTGAAAATATTGGTGGTGTCTAACGTCCTTCAAAGACTACGAAGTACAGTCTCTACCAAGTGTCAAGGTCTAGCCCCTCTCTATTGGTAGCAGTAGGGGTAGATAAGAAAGTCTCGGATTAGATAAGAAAAATTTAGATCAAACCCAAAAGATTGATAAAATGGCATGACATCATATAGATAAGTTTAGATTAAATCTGATTAGAGTAATTTCAAATCCAGCCAGACTGGAAACTCAATATTGTCAATTTTCAATTTCTTTACAAAATAATTCGTATAAGATTGAAGGCAAGGGTTTGGGCATGAAGAATGTGTTGGTGTACTATTATAGCTATATGATAATGTACACAATGGAGACCAACCCATGTGAGGCTGGGTTTGCATTCCACTGGGTCTAGATTCAGTTCGGGTCCCCAGCCAATACTACCCACTCATGAAATGAACTGAAATGTCAGTTACACTAAAAGTTATAACCGAAATTGACCAAATGACGGGTATCAGCGTCGGGCACTGGTTTTTCAGGTTGGTTACCTGACAACTGAATGAAACTGATATTTTAACAACCAAACCTAAAGGAAGCCAAATTAAAATTTTGAAGTTAAATTCCACAACTCGAATGTTCTTATGATGCCTATTCAAACATTGGGTTTGGTGGATCCGTGGATGACATTGAAAAAGGAAATCGTGTATGTATTGAGGGGGGGGGGGGAATCTTCTCATCTTCTAGTGTTAAGTGATTGAAAATTTTATAAAAATTGTTCAATTATAGTCGAACACTCGAACGCCAGACATCAGCTATGCTGACTCCAGCCCAACACAATCTCACCACTAGTATTATTGAGTACAAAGTGACTTATACCTTATCTACACAACGCTACGACTAAATAAGGTGATTATTATCGAATTTTCATTTCTGTGCAAGCTGATTATATTTAGAATAAAAACCGACTTTAAACTCTTTTTTCGTATACCAATGGTCAGGTCCCAAATCAAATTGGTTTGGTATCTGATTCGAAATGCCAGCCCTACAATGGTTCTTAGTAGGGGTGGACTCGGGCCGGTTCGGGCCTGGTTCGGGCCTGGGCCCGGCCGGGCCTCGGGCCAGAAAACTAGGGCCTGAGCCCGAACCGCCGGTGGCCGGTTCCGGTTCCGGGCCAAACCGGGCCGGGCCGGGCCAAACCGGTCTATATATATATATATATATATATATATATATATATATATATACACAAATGATCCTGTCCAGACGTCCGGACAGGAACCGCCGTCCGGCCGGCGGCGTTTGGCCGCCTTCCCGGTGGAATTTTTTGATGAAATTTTTATGGCATGTTCTACATCAAGTCTAGTTTATCCACAAAAAAATTCAGCCAAAAACTCAATCGGGAAGGTCGTCAAATGATTTTTGCAAGTTAACTGGTCCGGAATATGTATTTTCCGGACCAGTTAACTTGCAAAAATCATTTGACGACCTTCCCGATTGAGTTTTTGGCTGAATTTTTTTGTGGATAAACTAGACTTGATGGAGAACATGCCATAAAAATTTCATCAAAAAATTCCACCGGGAAGGCGGCCAAACGCCGCCGGCCGGACGGCAGTTCCTGTCCGGACGTCTGGACAGGATCAGGACTCTATATATATATATATATATATATATATATATATATATATATATATATATATATATATATATATATATATATATATATATATATATATATATATATATATATATATATATATATATATATATATATATATATATTTTGGTTCTTCTATTTAACCCCCTACCCCTCCCAAACCACCTCAAATGGCCCAAAATACTTAATCCAACCCAAAACTTAAAAAAATTTCAAAAAAAAATTAAAATCCGGCCTGGACCGGGCCTGAACCGGCCGGGCCGGTTCACCTAAAGCAGGGCCTGAGCCCGGACTGCCCATCACCCGGGCCGGGCCAAACCGAACCGATGGACCCACCGGGCCCCGGGCTGGTCCGGTCCAAACAGTAACCGGGCCGGGCTGGTTCCGGGTCGGTCCCCCTGGCCCGAGTCCACCCCTAGTTCCTAGCCACGACTCGATCCACGTCTCCACGAAAGTGTGGGCTTGGTTTTGGACAACGGACAGATGGCTTTTGTCTACTCTTGGAAAAGGGGAAGAATCACTCGGAGTCTCAGACGAGGATGAACTCATCACTTGATTGAACAAGCTCATACCAACGGATATGCCATGATTGCCATCATCACTAGTGAACAGGCTTAATTTGAAAGTATATAAGTGCTAACTATTAGTAATAGATATCGTTAAAATGACCAAATCATCTAGATTCGAGCAAGCACTAATTAGAATATGATATTATTTCTTTGTCAATTCTTATGAGTACGGAATCGCTATTATATTCATGACTTTGGTTAAAGCAGTGAAAATGTGGTTTTTACTATGAGTGGGTCCCTTTATAACTTACATTTATTTAGAGAAATCTCGTCAAATATTAAAATATCATACATGTAACATAAAATATTTTTATTATCAAAATTGTAAAAACCAACAATGGCCAAAACTTGAAAGTGTTTGGGTGGGGTTCAGGGTACAACTGCCTATTTATTAAAAGTTAAAATCACACAAAGAGTAGGAGGACCGATCGAAAGCCTACTCGAAATTAAAAAAGAGTTGTCAACAGACATCTCAGGTTTTGCTTGGTCTATTACGAGTCAAGTGTTTTCGCTTTTGTTAGCTTAGCAATTGAAACTGTTGAGCTGTGTTTGTTGCCTTGTGTGTCAGTGTATGTAGTACAGCCGTCGTCCCCATTCAAACCTATTTGATCCAGCATTGAAACAAAATGAAAATTTAAGCTAAAAATCAAGAAATTGTTAACTATACAAGGTAAGTATTGTATATGAACTGTGTTATAATGAAAGTAGTGGGGCAACTCTTACATTTTTTTTTCAAACTTCATTCATTTAATCGAGAATGTCTAATACAATCCTGAAGATACTCAAACCAATAACTACAATTAGACATAAAATTAGTCACTTTTGCTCACAAATGTATGTGCGACCCGGTTCATAGACATGTGAGAAAGAAATACTAGTAAAATTAGCTGAGACATAAATCTTATACATGCACAATGAAAACATCTTTGGAACTTGTAGTTCATACAACCATTCTTTGTACACTTGAATGAGCAACATTTCCAAAATTGTTTATTTAATAATTTTTCATTTGCTTACCATTATCTATGCATGACAAGAACTGACTAGTGATAGATGAGATTTAAACTAGACTTAAAATGCTATTGTCATGAGATATCGTAATATGATAGGTATTAAAAAAATATTAAGAATACAAATACACTTTTTGTAGACTCATACGTGTTACATGTTTTATGTTTATTAGACAATATGTTCTGCTACTTTTTATCATTCACTAAATAGCTATGATGAAATAGGTTTAGATCGAATTTAGGATGAAAACGAGGCGTGTTGTGGACAATTATCGCATAACCTTCTAGTTACTCACATGAATTTTTATCCAAACACTAACCATACCAACAAAAGAGTCACTAGTGTAATCGTTTTTTTAAGGGAAAACTGTCAAATGAATCCACATATAATTTCGAAAAAGTCAATTGAGTCCACATACTATTTTATCAATCAATTAAGTACACATAGTTTCAAATTTCAATCAAATTTGCCATTTAACCGGTAAACAACCGGTAACCCCTTATTTTGCTGACTTGAATGCCACTTACAATTTTTTGTACGGTTTCTTTTTTTGTTTTCCCTTTTTCCCCTTCTTTTCCTTTTTCTATTTCCTCTTCTTCCCCTGGTTCGTAGTCTCGTACCCCTTGTCCATCCGCCACCTGCAACTCCCCCCTCTTCTTCCTTCCATTTTTTTCTTTTCCCCCTTCTTCTTTCTCTCCTTCTTTCCCGTATTTCACCCCCTTCTGGTTTACCTTTTCTTTCTTTTTTCCTTCTTCATCACTCTATTTCTTCTATCCCACCCAACCTTCTATATCCCCTCTTTTAATTTCATGCCCATAGACCTGACGGCGACCCTTCCTCTTCTTCAGTGGCAACCAGGCGGCGGCAGAGAAGATGGCAGAGGCGGCATAGCTCGACGGCGGCGGCAGAATGATGAAGATGGCTGGGCGTTTTCATCACAGAACTCGACGAAGATAGTGGTGGCAGACTGGCAGAGATTGACGGTGGTAGAAGATGCAAAGCTAGAGGGTGAGAAGGAAGAAATAAGAGAAGCAAATAAAGAAAGAAGAAAGGGGGGGAGTTGCAGAGAATGGGAGGATGAAGAAGAAAGAAAACATTTAATAAAAAGGGGAAAAAGAAGCTCTAATGCCACACAGACGGCCATATCAGCGCTTATAGGAAAAAAAAGCCACGTTGACATCCACGTAGGCTGTTAACCGGAGAAACCAGTCAATTACCGAAGAAAATGCATATTTGAACATTTTTTGACAGTTGATAGACTTAATTGATTGAAAAAATAGTATGTGGACTCAATTGACTTTTTCAAGATAGTAGATGGACTGATTTGACAGTTTTCCCTTTATTTAATCGAGACATTCATTTTTAAATAACAAAAACCACTATTCTAAAACTTGGGAAATTGCTCCACCTAGGCACCTCATACACGATACATCCAGAGGTAGAAGAGGGAGCAATTTAAGCTCACAAAGATATAGAAACAAGAAATTATTAGTCAAGAATAAACTGATCATAATTAGAACCAACTTTTAAGGTCTAGTATTGAATTGAAATAGGTGGATTGCTAAAGAAGATCCCTACTTTCTTCATTCGTGGTAGTGAGGCTACATATACATGGGATGATGGGACGAGAAATAGGAGAATGAAATGGAATTAAAATTAGAAGGGAATGAAGGGATATCAGAGATGTATGAAGTGATAACTACCCTATTAGAATTAGAATTATTAAGGAAAAAGAGTAAAAATAATGCGAAATTTGAATATAGTGATCATAAATAACCGTAGCTTATTGAAAGTTTTACTTTCAAGTGATGATATTATCAAACTTTAAATATGATAATATACTTTCAAAATTGACGAAATAGTGTTCTAAAAATGACAATATTTACTCAAATTTAGACCATAAAAGTATAGTGTTTTTAATTAAAATTCCAAACTAAAGCAAACAATATATTGGAGAGTATTATTTTAAAGGAGATTGATCTGGCTTTTGTGGAAACAATACTGTTGGATTAGATCTAAGTAGGATTTTCTTGGCGCTCCATAGGTATTATTATTATTATCGAATTTTCAATTCTATGCTGACTCCAGCCCAACACAATCTCACCACTAGTATTATTGAGTACAAAGTGACTTATACCTTATCTACACAACGCTACGACTAAATAAAGTGATTATTATTATTATCGAATTTTCAATTCTATGCTGACTCCAGCCCAACACAATCTCACCACTAGTATTATTGAGTACAAAGTGACTTATACCTTATCTACACAACGCTACGACTAAATAAAGTGATTATTATTATTATCGAATTTTCATTTCTGCGCAAGCTGATGATATTTAGAATAAAAACCGACTTTAAGCTCTTTTTTCGTATACCAATGTTCAGGTCCCAAATCAAATTGGTTTGGTATCTGATTCGAAATGCCAGCCCTACAATGGTTCCTAGCCACGACTCGATCCACATCTCCACGAAAGTGTGGGCTTGGTTTTGGACAACGGACAGATGGCTTTTGTCTACTCTTGGAAAAGGGGAAGAGTCACTCGGAGTCTCAGACGAGGATGAACTCATCACTTGATTGAACAAGCTCATACCAACGGATATGCCATGATTGCCATCATCACTAGTGAACAGGCTTAATTTGAAAGTATATAAGTGCTAAACTGCTAACTATAGTACTCCCTCCGTCCCTAATAAAACTTCCAAATAGGTTTGACACACAGTTTAAGATAGTGGGTATTGTGTGGTGGAGAGTTGTGCAGAGGAGAGAGAAATGTGTAAGAAATGTTGTGAACCACAAATTTTGGCCAAAAAGGGAAAGTGGAAGTTTTAATTGGGACGGACGAAAAAGGAAAGTTGGAAGTTTATTTAGGGACGGAGGGAGTAATAGATATCGGTAAAATGACCAAATCATCTAGATTCGAGCAAGCACTAATTAGAATCTGATATTATTTCTTTGTCAATTCTTATGAGTACGGAATCGCTATTATATTCATGACTTTGGTTAAAGCAGTGAAAATGTGATTTTTACTATGAGTGGGTCCCTTTATAACTTACATTTATTTAGAGAAATCTCGTCAAATATTAAAATATCATACATGTAACATAAAATATTTTTATTATCAAAATTGTAAAACCCAACAATGGCCAAAACTTGAAAGTATTTGGGTGGGGTTCAGGGTACAACTGCCTATTTATTAAAAGTTAAAATCACACAAAGAGTAGGAGGACCGATCGAAAGCCTACTCGAAATTAAAAAAGAGTTGTCAACGGACATCTCAGGTTTTACTTGGTCTATTACGAGTCAAGTGTTTCCCCATTTGTTAGCTTAGCAATTGAAACTGTTGAGCTGCGTTTGTTGCCTTGTGTGTCAGTGTATGTAGTACAGCCGCCGTCCCCATTCAAACCTATTTGATCCAGCATTGAAACAAAACGAAAATTCAAGCTAAAAATCAAGAAATTGTTAACTATACAAGGTAAGTATTGTATATGAACTGTGTTATAATGAAAGTAGTGGGGCAACTCTTACATTTTTTTTTCAAACTTCATTCATTTAATCGAGAAAGTCTAATACAATCCTGAAGATACTCAAACCAATAACTACAATCAGACATAAAATTAGTCACTTTTGCTCACAAATGTATGTGCGACCCGGTTCATAGACATGTGAGAAAGAAATACTAGTAAAATTAGCTGAGACATAAATCTTATACATGCACAATGAAAACATCTTTGGAACTTGTAGTTCATACAACCATTCTTTGTACACTTGAATGAGCAACATTTCCAAATTTTTTTATTTAATAATTTTTCATTTGCTTACCATTATCTATGCATGACAAGAACTGACTAGTGATAGATGAGATTTAAACTAGACTTAAAATGCTATTGTCATGAGATATCGTAATATGATAGGTATTAAAAAATATTAAGAATACAAATACACTTTTTGTAGACTCATACGTGTTACATGTTTTATGTTTATTAGACAATATGTTCTGCTACTTTTCATCATTCACTAAATAGCTGTGATGAAATAGGTTTAAATCGAATTTAAGATGAAAACGAGGCGTGTTGTGGACAATTATCGCATAACCTTCTAGTTACTCACATGAATTTTTATCCAAACACTAACCATAGCAACAAAAGAGTCACTGGTGTAATCGTTTATTTAATCGAGACATTCATTTTTAAATAACAAAAACCACTATTCTAAAACTTGGGAAATTGCTCCACCTAGGCACCTCATACACGATACATCCACAGATAGAAGAGGGAGCAATTTAAGCTCACAAGATATAGAAACAAGAAATTATTAGTCAAGAATAAACTGATCATAATAAGAACCAACTTTTAAGGTCTAGTATTGAATTGAAATAGGTGGATTGCTAAAGAAGATCCCTACTTTCTTCATTCGTGGTAGTGAGGCTACATATACATGGGACGAGAAATAGGAGAATGAAATGGAATTAAAATTAGAAGGAAATGAAGGGATATCAGAGATGTATGAAGTGATAACTACCCTATTAGAATTAGAATTATTAAGGAAAAAGAGTAAAAATAATGCGAAATTTGAATATAGTGATCATAAATAACCGTAGCTTATTGAAAGTTTTACTTTCAAATGATGATATTATCAAACTTTAAATATGATAATATACTTTCAAAATTGACGAAATAGTGTTCTAAAAATGACAATATTTACTCAAATTTAGACCATAAAAGTATAGTGTTTTTAATTAAAATTCCAAACTAAAGCAAACAATATATTGGAGAGTATTATTTTAAAGGAGATTGATCTGGCTTTACTGTTGGATTAGATCTAAGTAGGATTTTCTTGGCGCTCCATAGGTATTTCTATCATTCCATTTGCGCCTAATTTGGAGCAGGGTTGGACAATTGTGCTCACGCATCACTTCTATTTGTACTTTGTATGCCGATTTTTAAAATATCAAATGAATCAAAAGTTATATCCGACCACAGCTCAAAATTCATCACATATCTTCAAAAAAACTGCACCAACATTCAAGATACGCCATACGATTAGATTACGAGGCTGCTACCTAGACCTGGACTCGGGCCGGTTCGGGCCCGGGCCGGTTCGGGCCCGGTTCGGGCCCGGTTCGGCCTGGCCGGGCCTCGGGCCAGGATAGTTGGGCCCGGGCCTGAACCGCCGGTGGGCGGTTCCGGTTCCGGTTCCGGGCCAAACCGGGCCGGGCCGGGCCTACCCGGTTTTTTTTTTTTTTTTTGGCTCTTCTATTTAACCCCCAACCCCTCCCCCTCAACCCCAAACTACCCCAAACCACCTCAAATGGCCCAAAATACCTAATCCAACCCAAAACTTAAAAAAAATTCAAAAAAAAAAAAAATTAAAAATCGAACCGAACCGGGCCCGAACCGGCCGGGCCGGTTCGCCAAAACCTCGGCCCGAGCCCGAACCGCCCAGCAGCCGGGCCGGGCCGAACCGAACCGGTGGGCCCACCGGGCTCCGGGCCGGGCCGGGCCTCACAGTAACCGGGCCGGGCCGGTTCCGGGCCGGGCCGCCCGGCCCGAGTCCAGGTCTACTGCTACCTCCACAAAAGCTGAGAGAATCACTGGCCACTAAACGATCAACATAGAGTTCTTATTGACATTGAAACGGTCGTCGTTGGTGCAAGTCTTGCTCCAAGCATATGGAAGACTACTATGCTCATGCACCTTCGATATCGATCTAGACTTCAAAACAAAGAAACAAGTCTTGCTCCAAGCATATGGTACAACCAAAACACTAGGTGATTAGCGCCTCCCTGATAGCTTTTCAAAACCTTATGGAATTGATTGTTCGCACTTTGAATGCTTTTACTTCTTTGTTTATATTTTGAGCAACAAGGTAATTACTTACTACTCCGTAATTATTTAGCAACACGTTTCTATAACTGTATTTATTTTTAATGAAAAGTTTAATTTTTTATATATGGAAAGTTAAATATGGGCTAAAAAGACAAAAAGATCACTGACAACCGCTGACCCTCGAATCAGACTAGGAGTTAATCATCTAAAAAAAAACAATATAACTCAGTGATCCATTAATGAGAGCAACTGAGCCAAATACGATTAACGCAAATCTCCTGTCACCCAAATCCAATCTCAAAGTCTTACAATGCAAAAAAATAACAAGCTGAAAATAAACAAAGTACTCAATACCATAAAAAACAAACACGATGAAAACATAAAAACCTTGCTCCGTCTTTGAGTAATAAAATGCCAAACACCATACCAATCCTGCTACTTGTGAATGTACCTTCGGCGGGCTTAAACATCTGAGCCCGCCTTCTCCCCGTTTTTGGCTTGTCAACAACCATATTATCCCTGCCTGACCCACCATGTTCCCGTGCCTCCCAGATCCTCGCTTTTGCTCTCCTGACACATCCTCGGTGCTTCCAAAATCCCCATCCTTTGTCGTGCTATCGTCCGTTCCAATTGTACACTCCTTCCAGCCTTGCCCTCTTGATCCACCTCCCGTCTTGGAATTCTTCTTGGGTGAATGACTCGGAGCTGCATTAGATGACCCCTCCACAAGCCACTTATTTCCTCCTGTCGAACTAGTCTTCACCCCTCCACCAGCTCACAGGCTAACCCCATAAGTTTTTTTTCAAAACCAGATTATCCTCATATGTTGGAGGACAAAACTTATTTTATGTATTTTATGTATTTTATAACAACGGAAGTCTAGTCTGGTCTGGTCTGGTCTGATCTGATCTGGGACTAGAAACAGTCCAAAAGAAAACATCCTTAATTCCAGAATCCATAGCCATTTTTAGAGTTTTTTTGGAAGAATTTGGCTTATATAGATAACACATAATTCAGATTATGGGTAAACCGACAAAAAGATTCCTCACAACCGCCGCCCCGCGAATCAGGCTCAGAATTAATCACCTCCAACGAAGCAATATAATTCGCTGATCCATTAATGAGCACAAAAGAGCCAAAAACGGTTACCGCAATCCTCTCATCACCCACATCCAAATCAATCGTCTCACAGAAAGGAACAACAACATCGAAAAAACCACACAACAAAATAAATTGTCACTAAGGAAAAATAAAAAGCAAATAAACTTGAAACTCTGTCTGAGCCTGCCAATCCACACGAGCACCCGAACGTTCTTCACCTTGCTTGCACTTCATGGCGGTGGCTCGGGAGGGGGACGCACTCGCGCGAGCCCTCCACTTCGTCTGTCGGCATTTGAACCTTCCACGTTGGCGAAGCCGAGCGATCGAAGAAGCTCTTTCGCCCGATTGCTTCTCAATTTGGTTTCCATCAAGAAGATGATGGATGGTTTCCAAGACCTCTGCAATTCCAACTGAGAATACTCATCTTCTTCCAACAAAATATCCGAAATTCCAACAGGGAACCTGTGCCGTGATCGGAAATCACCACCGGACAAATCCATAGCCATTTTTAGAGTTCACTAAAGCTATATTATTTTAGAGTCAAAATAATATTTTGATTGTTTTTTAATCCGTAATATTTTTTATGGTGTATTTATAATCGCATTACTATTAAACACATGTGAGTAATGATCAACTAGTCACATTATTGGAAGTTTATTTTTCATGTCACTTTTTATTTTTAGATCATTAGTGTTAATATTAGTAAAAAAGCACCTAAACGTAGAGATTCAATTACAAAGATTATTAACTTGTATCCATTACCAATTATTATAGTTTCTCCAGTACATACTGATTGTTACCATCTAATGTAGTAATGGTGAGAGTGTTGTTAGCTCTACAGTGAATTGCCTTTCTTAAACTTGCATCCCTAATCTATTAATTAGATGTATTCTGGATATTGGGACTAGATTGGGGCTAGATGGTTTGCCCCAATCTAAATGACCAGAAAGCTGGTTTGCTTGGGCCAATAAGACGGGCCACCACTGATCAAACACATGGACCAGGCTATATTTCAAATACACGATCTCAGTTGGCCCAGTTCACATATACACGCTGAGGTTTTGGTCCATAGACGGAGTCCTCACAGACAAAAGGCCTAAAGTGTAGTTCTTAAGAATTTAAGATGTCTTGGAGAACAAGACTACCGTTCTGGTACACAGAGAGTTTTTGCGAAGAAGACGAAGTCAAAGAAATGCATAAATCAACTGAAACAAACCTTGTTATGAAGAAAAATTACAGCATACGGAGTACATGATAAAGACTTCAAACATTAGAGTGAATATATGCAAAATTCAGGAGACTGGTGATTTATTCCTTAACGAGCCACCGGCAAAATATTTACATATGAGAATTCGCAGAACAGAGAAATATACGCAGTAATTCCAAAATCAGAGCTGTTAAACAGAACTTCAGGAACCAGTGATCGGATATTTATTCTCGGCGTCCTCAAAGTTGGGGTCATTAGCATCAACATCTTCGTTCGCAATCCAACCTATTTCCACCAGGGAGTAGCCGTCGCCGGACCACGTGAACTTTCCGCCGTGGCCTCCTTTCTTAGGCGACCCGCTCATTCCGGTTGCCGATCGCCGATCCTTCCTCACATCCGGCCCAGATCTGGTGGCCCTGGCAATCACACCTTTCGCGGAGTTCTTCTTCATTGTGAATGTGACGGATGCACTCTCGAAACTTCACTATCGCTGAGGAGGCAAAAGTTTAGATGTATTTATACCCACGCATGTGGCCTTTTCGGGTTGGCAGTGGATAAGATCAACCCATCGATCACTCGAACCTACCATATGGTAAATTTACCCAACTTCTACGTACGTAGTACTGTAATAATTTTGCTAATTTGTTTGCAATCACTTATGCTTAAATAAAAGCACTTTTAGGGAAAAAGTGATTAATAGTAAAAATTGGTAGTGTTTGATAAAATAAGTGCTTTTTGTGTAATAGAAAAAGTAAAAAGTAGATTCTACACGGAAGCCGAGAAAGTAAAAGTTGGTAGTGTTTGGTAAAATAAGTGTTTTTTTCTTAAAAAACGTTAAAAACACTTTTTTTAATGTATTGCAAACAGATTCTTAATTGGTAACCATAAATTTGGTAAAATGGTTGGTACTGTTCAAATTTATGAAATTTACATGAAGTGATTGGACTAGTTGATTTATTAGTAAACCAATGAAAATGTTATACGAGACAATAGCTAAAATTGTTGTCTATAATAATTTCAGTCAATTCGATCATAAAAGTAATTATATCATTACTTATTTTGATTATTACACAAAAATGGGACATATAGAGTGATAACAGGATATATCAAATTATAAGAAAGTCTTTTTTCACGTTTTTATACATGTTTTTATACATGCCCTCCCCCTTTTGTTTAAAGATGTACCCATGGGTCTAGCAGGGGCGAGACGGGGCATGATAATTTTTTAGACATGGGTGGGGATGGTGTAGTGAACTCCGCCGCAACACCAACCCATTTTCTAGACATGGGGCCGTAAGTGAATAATGTCTGAGATTCAATGATGGCTGAGTGTCATAGTTAGGCTTGAGATCGGTTCAGTTCTGGTTAAAATTCGATGGATCCTACTAAAAATTGTAGGCGTTAAATTCAGTTCGGTTCTAATTAAAAAAATGTAGTTGTTAAATTCTATTTGGTTCTAGTTAAGTTCGGTTCACTTCTTACATTTTTCGATTCCTTATGAAAATTTATTATCCACCTAAAATGAACACATTACATTCAGTTACATAAAAAAACCAAATTTCAAATCATGAAAATAATTGTCAAAATCATGACCATTATATTATATATATACATGATATACCAATATTCAAATATCACAAAAATATCCAAGTGTAAACATTAAATTTAAGAATAACAAAAATATAAAGGTTTAAAATAGACATCGACTACCAAAAAAAAGTTTAATAGCTCCAAGGTACACAACCAATAGCAGGCAGTTGAAACCCAAAATAATATTCTTATACTATTAATGCATTATAAGTAAAAAAAAATGCATCAATAAATTGATCGATAATATTAGTAATTTACTATTAACACGTAATAACGTAATGAGTAGAATATTAATTCATTTTTAGGTGAACTCAAATAAAAAATACAATTACAAACAAACAATAAATATAAAACTACACTTCTCTAAAAAAAAGTAAACTAAAATAGTAAAATAACAACTAGTGACGCACATTATGGCGTCGTTTGTTTTTTGGCGGATTGAAACCCACCCGCTGCAAAATGCAGCGTTTATAGGTGTAAAAAAATAGCGGTTTGTGTAAACCGCTGCTTTCCAAACGGAGTCTACATAAGGTATACGAAGAATTATGCATGATAAATATTCCTACAAGAATTTACTGACAAGAGCGTTGTCTGACCGCATTCATTTGAGGTACTTTCGTGTAGATTTTTTTGATGAGATTCTGTAACTGTTTATTACATGAAGTGTAGATTATATCCACCAAATATAACATAATATTCCATCTTAAAGTGAGTTAAATAAAATATTGAAAAACTTTGCGTTACACACACATATTGTCGTGATGTTTTTAAATAATTCATGTAGATCAATAGATTATCAGATTATCATGAACACAAAATATCACCGAAAAAATCGGTACATGTCCAGGAATGAACTGGAACTAATTATAAATAATATAGGAACTGAACCCACCTTACCGTCTGACGGCGCTTGTGGCGTGTAAGTGAATATACGGACTCCGGTGAATAATATCCTTCAGTGAGTTCAGCCAAAAAAAGACTGAAAGGAGCAGCCGATCGACGAACTCCCACTCCCGACCGCCGACGCTTGGACGCCTGCCGCCCTGTCCCTTAGATTTCTCAGTCCAGCATTCCTCCCTCCCCTTCCTTCTGGAGTTCTGGTGCGGCGGTTCCAGGTGCGCTTCCACCTTTCGGCCTACTGCATACTACGCTTCACACATTCAGCGATTCGTCCCTTTCCCTTTTCAGGCTTCAGGTATTACTGACCTCCTTAACTCTTTATTCTTTTATGCATTGATTGATTATTCATGGATCAATAGTTGCTTAATGTTTGTAAATGAATAGTTGATAAATAATTAGTTGATTAGTTGGATGTTGAGTGTTGATAAATGACTATTTCACATTCATAATTCTTGATTGTTATGATAAATGTTATGTGTTAATCTGTTCTACGGTTGTCTATGTTGCCGTTAGTTGATTAGTTCATAGTTTGTAAGCAATTTGTTCATAGTTGTTGACTTGTTGAATTTTAAGTGATTAATAATTTTCGGTTATGTATTCAAATTCGGATTTTGTTTTGGCATCATAATTTGTGCGCTAAAATTATTCAATTGTAATTAAATTTATAAATTTAATCAAGTTCAAAGTGTAATAAAATGATTGAATCTGGGTGAGAAAGGACAAAAGAGGAGAAGATTAGACAAAGAGGCCCTAAGTAAAAAGGTTGGGTGGGAAAATTTGTATGTTTGAAGAGGTCGAATTCTAAATGTTCTCCTCAAGATGAGAACTCAGAATAGAAGAATGATTTAGCTATAGAAAATGAAATGGTTCAGAATGATCATGTTAGTTTATCCGTCCCTAGGCCTTTAAACAGACAGGACCGACCCTGCCCGTAGTTGTAACCCCAATCAACTTCAAAGAGTGTTCATAGTGGCACAAGATTCCTAGACCTCGAGCAAGGAGGAAGAGGCACATTATGAAGACAAAGAAGCCATTGTCAGCACTCAAACTCTCCATTCCTACTGAAGGGACCAACATTTCCAGCTTCCTGTAAGTCTCTTTTTTACTTAAGTATTATCACTTCCACGTTCAATTTATTTGGAAGTGTCTCTTGAGAATGGGTGGAGTCGATTCTTGATCGGCAGGACCGCCAGTGGGACATTTCACGATGGAGACTTGCTTTTGAATCAGAAAGGTCTCAGATTAGCTTCCCTCGAGAATGAATCTCTGGCAAGTCTATCCTTCAATCACTGTCAAATAAATCTAGTAATTTTTAAGTTCTTCATGTTTAAACTGATAACTCCTTCAACACCTTGTCTTTTTAATATTCTGGAGCCATTTGTTCTATTTTCTCTTCGTTTTTATACACTTCTTTCATTGAGACAAAAATGAAAAGAATGCTTCAAGAAATTTAGGGCAGGTGGCTAATTTTGAAGAGCTAGGTTAAAGGATTAAGATGATCATTTTTTGACTGTTGTTGTTTTCCAGCATTGTTACTGGCTGCTGCATTGGATAATAGTTTTACTCGTATACTCTTATAACTTTCCAGCCTTCAGAAACAAAGGAGATTGACCTTCAGTTCTCTTTGGAAGATCTTGAGACAATCAAAGTAATTGGAAAGGGAAGTGGGGGTGTAGTTCAACTTGTTCGCCATAAATGGGTTGGCACTTTGTTTGCTTTGAAGGTCAGTGTATGTTTCATGAGTAGTATGTACAAGTTTCCCTTATAATTCATCATTTTCATGAAATAATCCGTATATGGTTGTATGCATGCCTTTGGCTGGGATTTGTATGGGCTCCTTGATTTGGTGTTCTTTAGTCTTTATAGTTTTGCTGATTCTAAATAACAATCAGTCAATCACTGATGCACTTGTCCTTTTGGGTGGTGAAAATACTTGATACTTTAATAGCTCATCTGAAGTATGACTCTGAAAAATGTCACAATTGGTTCTTCAAATTTGTGGTTTGTAGAATGTGCCTGTTTGGTAAGTTTTTTGTTGAATCACTTAATGAAATAGTCAAACAACACGACACTTCTACTGTAGTTCTATCTTAATTTAAAGGTATTTTTTATTTACTTTAAAAAATAATCTAAATATATTTTTAGATATATTTAACAAAACTAAGCATTTGATCCACAATTATATCATACTCAGCCATTTCAGGCCTTACCAATTGGGCTCTAAGCAAACATCCTTCCATGTAAGAAATATCGCATAATCTGTCTTTTGTTGGTTGGTCTTAAGTTTTCGGTCTTCGCCTTGTAGGAGTCCTTTTTTATCATGTGATTGTTACTTTAATCTTAATTTTAAAATTTTATGTTTGGTTTATCCTAAAATGGTTACTCTTTTTTCTTTCCCTTCTTATACAGGTTATTCAAATGAATATACAAGAGGAAATTCGTAAACAAATTGTGCAAGAGCTGAAAATAAACAAAGCATCACAGTGTTCACATGTAGTGGTTTGCTATCACTCTTTCTATCACAATGGAGCTATTTCTCTGGTGTTTGAGTACATGGATCGCGGATCACTGGCAGATGTAGTAAGACAAGTTAAGACTATTCTCGAACCATACCTCGCAGTTGTTTGCAAGCAGGTTTGAATTGAATACTCAACATATGAAATTTTACATATTAACACACTCTTGGCAATCTATATGATGATTTTCTCAACAGAATGTTCGTATTTTAGGTCTTGCAAGGTCTTGTCTACTTGCATCAGGAGAGGCATGTAATCCACCGAGACATTAAACCTTCAAATCTGCTGGTGAATCACAAAGGAGAAGTAAAAATTACAGATTTCGGTGTGAGTGCAATGCTTGCCAACTCTGTGGGTCAAAGAGACACATTTGTCGGGACTTGCAACTACATGGCGGTGAGTATAGTATTTCATCATTAACCTATTGATAACACACAATATTTGTTGGTTCAGTACTTCTATGTTATCAATGTGTTTCGGCCTTGCTTGGTGAATTGCTTTTTAGAAAGCTTGTAACTTTGTCGATATGAATTAGCTAAAGTAACAGAAGACCCAATATAAAAAAAATTACTTAGGATTTTTTGAGGAAAAGCTTTTGAAAAGATTCTCATTCCACATTCTATACATTCAAACAGCGAACAACAGCACCGCTTCCCTCTGTCTCATTTTAAAACTGCCACTTCCCTTTATTGTTTGTTTCACAATTATGTCCATATTTTTTAAGCACCGCTGACTACCACTTTTGAATTCTGCCCCTTTAAGATTTGACGCATGGACCCACTAACAAATTATCATGTCTCTGGGCTTTTATGTCCCTACACTGAGTTTTGCTGTTCTCTGCCATATCTATTAGAAATTTAGAATCATGTGTGGTGCCAACACCACTCAACACTTATAATACTTGCATCATTACTATTTCACCAAAATTCACCTACAATTCAATCCCAAGTGAACATATCATTCTACTGCTTGGAGCACATATTTATAACAGCATAATTGCAAAACAGATCACATAAGAGGTGGCTAGCTGCATTAGGAAGTAGGAACTACCCAAAGTGTTCTAACCTGCAAAACTAAAGTATGACACAAACTATCCATAATTGGCTCAATTAAAAGTTAATTCTGCATGTTTGAAATTGTTCCATTTAACGCCTCCAGATCGTATGAGATACTGGTGGGAAGGTCTTCTTGCTCCAACTTTAGCTTATTTATGGTGGTCATTTATAATTATTCCCTGCATTTTTTAATTACCACCCTGCATAGCTGAAATTTCATGAAAAGTCTTTTGAGTAGCTGAAAGCCTGCAAGCCTCAACAAGTTCATCCAAATTATGTGGTGCTTCCAGATATTGCAAATTTGCAATGACTGCATCTCTGAAATCTCATACCTAATACAATAATGCCTGAGCTATTTGGAGGTTGTGGTTTTAAGCGAATATCAATGCCATCCTTTAGTTCATCCTCTAGAAAGTAGAAACTCAACATCATTCACACTAATATGTGGTCTTGCATGATCTTTCTAAACAGAATATAGTCTGGGCAATTTGGAGGACACTTTTCGCATATTGCTGGCTAAGTGGCAATGTGTATTCAATCAATCACTTTCTAAAAACATCTTTATTTACCGATTCATTTGGCTTGGTTTCTGTCCTTAATGTAATGCCTTATTTTGTATGTGTTCCTATGAAAATGAATCTGTCCATTTTTTGGGGGGCTCAAAGGGGCGTGGAAACGAATTAGAACTCAACTACAGTTCCTGCCCGTCCATTTTAACTTCCACACTGAGCTGCTTCTCTATGAGTGAACATAAAGATACTGATATTTCCATAAAACATTTCATTTTTTATAAATCATATCGAGGGCAAGCAATCACACATGACACAGAAACATAACCTTTTGATAAACTTTTTAATTTTACCAGTACAAAATGGCTCATTCCCTCCTGGCAATAATTTGTAATTTAGTGCAGTCCTTGAGAGAACAAGCCTCTTTTCATCTATATGAGCATGACCACACATATCTATAAAGGTTGGGTTATAAGGCATCAAATTGGGTTCAAATGACATCCAAAACTATAATCTTACCTTCCAATTTTCATCTGTTAATGCAAGCTTTATAGCATTTGAGTGAGCCTTTAGAGAACCTTCCTTGAGAGTTGTTTTTAACATGCTCAGGGCAGTAGCCAATGATCGAATTGTTGTAAAGCGTTTCAAAGGAAGTCTGCCAATTTCAATAGCATTGATCTCTTACTTTTTTCTGCCAACGTTTACTGAGAAGTTCAAAGAAGAACCAAACAAAAGAATGTTGTCAGCAAAGAAAATCTCCTTTTCCAATATGTAAATGGACTGATAGGACTCTGGGCAGATTAGGACTGATAATAATAATGAGAATAATAATAATATCTGAAAAATAATGAGATTAGGACTCTGTTATACGACATCTCTTGTCTTCATATTTGATTCTTGAAATATCTGTAAAATTAGCTGGTTACCTATCATGGACAGTGTGAGCATATATAGAATTTGAAAAGTAGCCGCCCTTTTCTCTCTAGATTGCTTATTTCCGTGACTTAAAGGTCTCATAGTCGTCAACACGTCTTCATTGATAGTCTACGTTAATAATTAAGAAAGATATGGTAGGATGAGTACTGATCACTACAGGAAGAGTTTTTATAGCAATGCAGTTTTTTTGTAATTTAAATATACAGGTAAAAATCGGTGGTTGAACCAATTTTGGGAGGAAAATATTAGAGCCTATTTTTCATAGAAAGAGCTAGTGGATGAATCTATTGATTGAAAAGTACGGAAAGCTACCACCATTTTCCCCTCCAAAATCTAACCTTGATTTTGAAGCATGAATCTATATTCGCTAGAGTTTCTGAAGATAAAGTTCACGATTACTTGCTTTTAAAGAACAGGTAAAGTTGATCAAGAGAGATTTACAATGAATGCATCCAACTGTAAAGTAAGAGTACTTCATATGAATCTTTTACTGTACGTAAATGTCAAATTCAGAACATGATTCCTTTATTGTAATTAAATGTCAAATTCAGAACATGAGTAACTTAGGAAAATTCTATCACATACCACTTGTTTTCTTATAATCTATGTGAAAACAAATGGGGACCTATAGAACGGACAGAAGAGTAATTGCTATTACCAATATCCTCAGAAAAGCAGTTACAGTAAAAAAAATTGGGTCAAAATAGCTAAATTCAAACAGCTAATTACCAAATAGGGTCTTGGTCAATTCTGTGTCATCTAATCATGTCTAATGTTTATATGTTCCTTCCACCATATTGGTGATTAAAAACTAATTATGATGTTGCTTAGTCAGCTGTGTCACTTGTGCCTTCTACTGATCTCTGATAGTTCATATGTTCTTTCCATCATACTGGAGCTTAAATTGTAATTATGATAATAAGATAATTATATAGTGACACCTTCTGAACTTTCTTTAAGCCTGAAAGAATTAGTGGGAAAACATATGACTATAAGAGTGACATCTGGAGTTTGGGCATGGTGATTCTTGAGTGTGCTATTGGACGCTTCCCTTACATACAGTCTGAAGACCAGCAGAAGTGGCCAAGTTTTATTGAACTTCTGCAATCAATTGTTGGAAGTCCTCCACCTACTGCTCCGCCGGATCAGTTTTCTCCAGAGTTCTGTTCATTTGTCTCTGCCTGGTAAGATTTGTAATAACCTTGCCTCTTACATACATGAAAGACTGTTAAACACGCTCCACATGATCACATTCATCATCTTACCTTCATCCTAACTGTGTTTGGGACACTGGCATAAAACTTATTTTGTCAATTAGTTGTGTAAAACTACGCCACACTCTAATTCATTCATAAACATAGAGCCAAAGTTTTATGCCAGATATCTTGTCACAAAGTTTCAAAGCCATCGCCTTCATTGAATTTCAACTTGTGGAAAATTTCAAGAGATGTCGATGAATTGATACACTCCATCAGTCCAAAAAACTGTCTTGTCTGGTCAAAAGGTACAACGTCTTAATTTTGGAAAGCTACAAGCCTACAACATAAAAAATCTTGAAAAATCATACTTGTGATTGCAAAACATATTTGTGAGTGTATCTATTTCTATCATATGTTACTTGTTTGTAAGATTTTATGGAAATTAATTGGGAAATTACATGAAAAAATAAGCTTCATTTGGGAAGTAAATTTTTTTTAAATTAAACAGAAGTTTTCGTAACATGACTCTTTTTTGGGATAGAGAGTAGTCATGTTCCATTGCGAAGTTGATATCATAAAATCAACGCACACATTAGAGCGTGCCTAATACTCCACCTTATCATCGTAGTTCTTACCCATGATTACGTAAGGAACAATGATTAATTGATTATTAAACTAATTTCTTGTTTTGCTGTGCTGGAATTTTAAATGCTCAGCATACAAAAGGACCCAAATGACAGATCTTCGGCTTGGGACCTCTTGGTCAGTATACTTTAGTTAGGTTCTTTTTCGTTCTTTCTGTTAATCTTTTGCCTCCTATTACGCGCACGTGCTTACTACCTGCTTTTTTGCACATTCAGAGTCACAGTTTCATTAAGAAGTTTGAAGACAAGGACATTGATCTCAGCATCTTGTTTGGTAGCCTCGAACCTCCAGTGAATTTCACACGCTAATTGTGTTTGTGTGTGCAATATGATCTTTGTTCGTGTGCACTGAGTCGGTGATTGAGCTTTGTGTGTTGTATCTTTTTTTAAAACTTAGTTTCTATTGATTTTTATTTTTTGATGTGTAATATGAAATATGTAATCCGCTAATCCCTGATATTGCTGTCTTTTTACTCTGTTTTTTAAACTAAATTATACAGAGTATATATTTGTAATGCAATGAGATGACATTGAAATAACCAGATTATCTCCTAGTTTGGAGAGTTCAAGCTGTCTTTACATCCATAACTTTTGTACACCTTACAAGTTCATAGATGCGAAATTCAGAATCTTCAATCTTTTTCGTTCTTCCTTTATATTAGCATAAGTAAAACTTCTTGAAATTATGCACTACAAACATTTTTTGTTTGTTTGTGTTGAAACAACATCGAGGTAACATAAGAAAAGGGCACATTCAGACCCCATAAAACTTGGAATGTATTTCTTTTCTGTTCAAAGGAAAACAAGTTCTATTAATCGCAGAGAAAAGTGAAATTGTAAGCTAAGCAATTGCACAATCTAGAGTATAGATATTAGATACCGCATTAAAAAATAGCCATAGAATCCTATATTAGCGGAAAAAGTTCGTCGCCTGCACTAGTGAAAACAATTCCGCCGCACTATACTAGGGGGAAACAAATCAATCCCTGCACTAACGAAAACAAATTCGCTCCCTTGATTGGAAATACTGGATCCATCCCTGTGTGCGTATGCATTATGCACCTTCGAATGGAGCCTCATTATTAGATGCATTAATTATGTAGAAATGAAGAACATCGGTATATGTCATTGCTAGGACACCCATTTATGGACTAAAAAAAGAGAATGGATTTATGAGACAATTAAAATAAGCGAATCTCAAGAAATATGGTCTGTAAAAAATTAATATGATCTAGCCGCAGCTGCCCCCAACATACAGAGTAACTGGATAGGGCGGTGAAAGAAGCTATTGATATCAAGTATGTCTAGTTTACGGAGGCGGTGATCAAAACTAGTTTTTGGAATGGGGATACACACTTTTACACATGTCTGTGTAGGTTTTTTTTGTCTGTATACAAACAAAAAAATCTACACAAACATGTATAAAAGTGTGTACCTTTAGAATTTTTCTTAAAATTATTACTATGTAACAAATTGCCTTATAGGAGCATGCTTCGAAAAGAATAGAAACATGTTTTAATGATTCCTTTATAGGATTAAATTTGTGAAATGACCGTATTATCCTTGAAACAACTTCCACATTTTTTCTAATTGTTCAAACAAACTACGTACTACGTAGTATATGATATCATGCTGATAGACCATACAAATTACAAAACGTGTCTATAGTCTATACATATACCGATATACGGATGTACCATGATACCTATTGGACATTTGGACGGTTCATTATGAAATTATGTAATACGTAGTATTATTATTAATACGTTATTTGTTTATGTTGAGATATTTGATTTTTCTAGTATTTATCGAGATATTTTTACCAAGAAAAAAAATCATTGTTGGTGTCTTCATTTTACGAATCACTTTGTACAAAGTTCACCATAAGCTCTATATCCAAGAGTTGCTTGGCAAGTAACTTTTCGTATACCAAGGGGGTGAGATCTTCAATTATAAGCATGTAATAAAGTTTTGAACATTGTTTTACAAAAATAACTTTTCGTATACTAAGGGGGTGAGATCTTCAAAAATTATGATTATAGGACCCAAGTAGGGGTGGACCGGTCCGGTCCCAAACCAGCCGGTCCCGATCGTTGGTAGGAGAAGCTCGGGTCCGACCCATTTAAATCCGGGTCTGGGCCAGTTCCAGATACCCAGGATGTTCGCTCCCGGTCCCGGTCCATACCCGGCCCAATCTATTTTTTTCGGTTTCCCCCGCTTCCAATCCCAAAAAAAATGGCAGATACTAAGCCTAACCGCCTGGTTTGGTCACCAAATTGGTGAATCGAGACCGAATAACATGCTTGGGCAAACTATGGGCGGTACGGGTACCAGACCTGAACCGGATTTTTTGGACCCGGTCCGATCCCAACCATTGCCAAACTCGCTCCCAAACCGGGCCGGGCAGCCGGACCGGGACCACCCCTAGACCTAAGTAATAAACCGATGATTTTTTCTATATTTTTTAAAATCAATTGTTTAAATACTTTTGTATTCGTGAACAAGGCACAAAATTAAACTTGTTTAGTTTTTTTCTCAACTCTTTTTACCTAAACTATTATTTAAATTATATACTCCATATACGATAATCGATCTTGAATAAAATAATAAAGCAAAAAACGTGTGGTAGATATTTGTGGAGAAGAGATATAAATCACAGGAGCACAAATTCATTGATTAAAAGGAAAGTTTTTGAGAAAGTTGACAAAGTTACAAGGGATAGGGAGAGTACATATTAGGGATGTTTTTACGTGGATTGAAATTTTCTAGTCTGATCTGATCTGGTAAATGTTTGATCTTTGTGTATTTTATAACTGTTCAAGTTTGAAATGATCTCATCTCGGGCTGAAAATATTCCAAGTAAAAACATCCCGAGGGTGTCTAATACTCCGTAATAATTACCAAATGCAAAGCGGATTGTGTCAAAGATTGAGGGGTGCGGCTGCTCTGCGCACATCCCCTAAAATCATGCTTATGTACAACAGCAAGCGCAAGTGTGTTAAGCTTTTCAAGCAAAGGATGATAGTGTCATTAACTTTAGTTACATTGGACAAAATGGATGATCATTAACACACAAAATCACAAATGCCATTAAAAAATTACGCAAATCAGACATTAGGTGAAAAAAAGATTCACAAGTTACGTTAGAACTGTACTGATTCGTATTCAGGTTATGTTTATACACATTTCTGTGCCTCTTTTTTGTTGTCCGGATACATTGATACAAATATGTTGCATTGACATGTCACATGTCGGCAACAGACCAAAGATATGCTTCTTTTTCAGTTGCTTGTTTTTCATTAGTACGCTTGAACAGTTGTTTCTCATACCCTACAAAATGAAGTCACAAAACACAGTATTATTACTAAAATCTCAAAGTTGAATATGGAGTTGAGAAACAGAACGTTTCAAGAAGCAGAACACAGAAAGCCAAGTGAAAGTTTACCGTTACTGCGGTCAACACCGTCCCAGTGCCGCCCTGGTTTAATACCATATCGATTGGGCGCCGCTTCCAACCCTCTTCGAATCCAGCTGTGAGGAGGAACTTCCTGAGGGATTACAAAACCTGATTCTTTCATTCTATCATCCAAACCTAAGTCGGGCAGAAGAAGAGCCTGGTCCGCTTGCTTTTTCTTGACCAAATGTGCCATCGGATCACCCCATCTCAACCTTTCCTTGAGCATATTGTCCAGTTCAGGATCATCTCTGCTTCTAGCAAATGGTTTTTCCTTTTCGCTTTCTAATTCCTGAAGCCTAGCCTCCATCTCACGCTTTTGAGCCAAACCCTTGCCCCATTCCAGCTTTATTTCCTGATGTGAAGTGAAGATACACTAAACCATTTAATGATTATTTTGAGCAATAGGCACAACTGTATAAGCAATCATAGATGACAATTGACAAGTGATACAATCAATTTTTATGCAAGAAATCAGGCATCTGCACAATACACGGTTACTCTGAATCGATATTTGATACCGTAGTTTTAAACAACAAAAAACAATCCCAGAACTCTTGGCCATCAACCATATATTGTTTTAAAACAATTTTACTTTTTTAAAGGTAAATATAGGTTGAAGCATCTCTCCAATAGCAATTAATTTAAAGGCTGAACAAAATAATTTTTAAGCGATGACACACACACATAATCATACATTTTAACTAGATTAGGTTACTAAATGTTCAGATGGTAATCTGAACATTATTGTAAGATAGTTTAACGTTTGGCATTATAATCTTAACAATGATTACACCAAAGATGTAGCTAAATCTGCCCCAGACTCCATTATAATCTGCAGTTTGTCAACCTTAGTTTCGTTGATTGGAAATGCATCTTTCGCTATGTTCTGTGTTTTGTGACTACGCTGAATTAGTTAAGGAAATTGAGGAATTTGTCAGGTTTGACTATAAGGGCGACAGATTTAACTCTATGTTTTATCCTTTGCACCAATTAGTTGTCTGTGGTTTGTCTCATCTTCCATTGTGGATGGAAATATGTAAAATTATAGCAACAACGAAAACAATAATAATTACAAGTTGAAGGATAAGACATGTTTCAAGAAAAGTCATGTTTCACCAAGGTGCAAGTATAAAACTGTAGTCATGTACAAGAGCACAACACGTTGAAATCATCAATCATACTCAATACTCAGGTATATCAGTATATTTTTAAGAAGTTTAACTAAGATTAACATGTTTAACTTGTTTGGAAACTTTAAATGAAACATAACATAAAGTTTAATACAATTTTCTTGTTTTGTTGAAAATTGAAATAGGTAGACAAAATATGTTTTCGAGGTGGACTCGTTTTAGTGGGGCGTGCCAGACTGCCAGAGTATACTTTAAAGATAAAGATGGTGGCAAGAAATATTTGAATGAATTCGGTAATAAAAAGATATAAATATTTACTTGTGCAGGATTAAGACTTAAAGGACAATTATAAGCTCACACTTTCACAAAAATAAAAAGGTTATAGCTATATAATTAAGTGTGGATATTGTCCACCTGCTGTAGAATGCAGTTTTGTGACTTGTAAATTTGTAATATAGCAGCACATTAGTACAAAATGGCATATAGTAATACCTTAGGCTTCTCCTTCTCTTTCTTTTTATGAGACTTCAAAAACTCTTCCTTAGACACTCGTTCTCCTGCAATGTTAAAACTGATATTACACAACATAAACACCAAATTAAGTGATCACAATTTGGTTTAATCCTTTTTTTCTGCTGACCTGTCACTTTGTCACGATAAACCCCTGCAGCACCCACACCACTAACTGAAGGGTCCATTTCTTTAATCCTATAAAAATGGAAAACACATTAACTGGCAACTCAAAACCATTCACCAAAGGAAGAGGTCCACATTACAATCCCCACACTTAATCTACTTGGCTCTACAAGTCCAAGTTCATGCATGAGGTAGAAAAATAAAATAAACTGGTAATTACAGAAGGGGTAAAAGGCTACCTCAACCACTCTTCTTTCTTTGTTTTAGCAATCTCATCTTTGACATCCTTTGCTGTGACAAGACCTGTCTTTGGCCTCTGTTTTACTACAGCAGGCGATTGGACTTGTTTCTTCCTTGGCGGAGACAAGTCCATATTAGATTTCTCATCATTTGCAGACAACTGACTTTTTCTTGGTGGTGACATGTCACTATTAACTTTTGAAGATTTGCGTGGAGGTGACAAGTCATCATCTTGCCTCCTAGATTTCAGGAGCTCAGGTTCCGGTGAAGGTGTATCATATCGGGCTCTTCTTCTACGAGGAGGTGACACATCACCATGGCCTTTGCTTGAAACTGTACCACTCCTAGCATTGTGCTTGCGAGGAGGAGACAAGTCATCATCATGCATCTTCCTGGATTCAGGTTCTGGAGAAGGTGTATCGTAGCGAGCTCTTCTTTTACGGGGGTGGTGACAAATCAGCATCTAATGTTCTAGATGAAGTAAGTTTCAGTTCAGGAGAAGGTGAATCATTACCAACAGTTCGTTTTCGGGGTGGTGATAAATCCAAATTTTGGTCATCAGAATTTAAAGTGTTCTTCGGAGCATCTGAAACAGAAACCCAACCACTCCCATCCTCTGAAATGGCACCAAATGGCCGTTTTGCTCTAAGCTGCTCCAGCCTCTTCATACGCTTGACTTCAATATCTTCATTAACCAGAGGTTTCTCGTCATCTGTATTAAATAACAAATGGTTATGCAAAACAGTTAAAATAACATTCAACAAAAGCATATTTACATAAGGGGGGGGGGGGGGGGGGGGGGAATTCCAAATTACCAGCTGAGCCATCTTCTTCTTCATAATCAAATTTTTCCGGTTTTTGCCAGACAGGATCTTCATCTACAATAACAACACCGGTAATGTTAGGTTTTGTTTTCTTTTTCTTTTTCTTCTTCTTCTCCTCTTCATAGCCACTGTCATATTTTTTTAGGTAATCCTTCAGTGATGAAGTGTTAGAAGATGGAGCCACCATTCTACTCAGCCAACAACTCTCTGCATTATAATAGATTGAACAATAACCGTATCAAAAAATATAAAACAGTTAAGAGTAGCAGTATTTTGTCAAAATAATCTAGTAAATAAATACATCTACAGTAGGCCTGCATTTTGAAAGAATGAAAATGTGGTCAATAGGAAGTTTGCATTTATGCATTCTCACCCAATAGTCTAATATAGTTGCATATCTGTCAAGATATCACCTGTATGTCCTGTTTCCAATTTTATAAACTAAAAACAAACCTAGTTTAAATTACAATCCTAATAAGCCTAAATTGTAATGAAGTATGAAAAAAACATCTCTCTATTATTAACTAGGTTTTGATTTCTTGCCAAACATGTACTGCTACCATATAGCTACAAAAGATAATTGACAAAGGCATAATATTCACGACAAAGATAGTACTTCCAGGACTTTGATAGGGCACATATTGATAATCATAAGGGTAAAATATACGAAACGATGTAATTCACAATTACAAATCACGTGCAACAATCAAGAATCAATGTCATAATCAATTAAAAACCAAGTAAAAAAAGATGAATGATGAGTACAAATAGTTATTTCTAATTGTTAATTTCAGATAATGTAAACTATGGTAGATTGGTATGTATAGAAATTTGTAGGCTGCGGTGCTTGGTCCATTAGGTTTTTGGAACAGTTGAACATATTTCTGCCACTGCACAAACCAATACCTTGAAACAGGGGCGGCTATGAGGGGAGTAGCATTTGGGTCAAATTTCAGGGGACTTAAAAAACTACTACTAATACAAAGTTTCAATTTTTATAGTTAAGAAATTGAAATTGAATCGGCAGACGGTCGCAACTCGCCAACCCTAAACTCTCACAATTTCCCGGAAACGGCAAAACAGCAAGACAACCAAATCCCATGAATCGCCGAATGCCGAATCGACAGACGGAAACTGCAGAACTAAAGAAGGGGGCAACAGCCACCGAGCAGAGATACGAAAACTTACCCTGCGAATCTGAGATTGAGGCTTGAGACCAGGGACCAAGCCGCCAAGGAGAAAAGGCGAGCAGTGGGCGGAGTGGCGACGGTGGCGTGTGCGACCGCCGACCAGGCGAGCAACTTCGGCACAGCTTCACCTCGATGTGCTCTTCTGCCTATCTGTAGTATTCCTATGTCCTACTTTAACCTTCTCATCAACGTCGGCATAACTAAATTTTCCTATTTCTATTTTAAAAAGCAATTAACACTATTTGATAAATTAATTATCAAATATTAAAAATAATGCATTTATGATAATAGTGTTTAGGAATACTTATAACATTATACTTTGTAGTTACAATATTATCAATGACGTCATTATATTATGTTATAGATTTATTAAATGTATTATTGAAAAATATATATTCAAATTATAATTTTTAATTATTATTTAAGTAATTGTACAATTTTTCTGAGAAGATAAAGTCATGATCAAAGTAGTAAAATTATTTATATATATTTGGTCATTGCCTTTTGACGTTTTTGGGAGAATCATATGTCTAAAATTATAAAACTAGACAATTTATTATATGTTGGTAAAATCCCAATATCATCAGGTTCAACTGTACTCTGAATCAAACCGTATTCATGTGTATGATTAGTTCGTTCTGTCAAAATTGGACAAAATCTGAGCTCACAAAATAGCAATTTGATTTTGACAGTTTGGCCAAAGTCTCCACTCTCCCATATGCTCACTAAGAGCATCTTCAATTTTAATATGTTAACGGTGCATATGTGGTATGAGAAATAATCAATCAAAAAACAATAATAAAATATCTCTCTCCTTATTGGAATGATCTCATATCATTTTGGTAAGTTTTTCTTCACAATGTCAAGCACAATGTCTAGATGTAGACATTGTGGTTGATATTGCAGAGAAAAACACCAAAAATATATAAAACCGTGGAAAGACGGAGAGAGAAATGTCATAAAATCGATCTTTTGTGTCTACATCTCTCATGCCACATGTGCACCGTGCACATTGTAGCATTGAAGATGCTCTAATAAATGCTGAAGTTAGGATTGCGATATTAAGAAAAAGAATTGAGTTGTGCAATATTTAGTTTAAATAAAAGTGCAACAATTAAAACTAAATTATCGATTAGCGAAAGAAGGGAGTAAGAATTTGTTCTAGGGCGTATAGATAAGGATGTTTTCTTTTGGACTGAAATTTGCTGGTCTGGTATGGTCTGGTCTGGTCTGTTTAAGTCTGGTCTGGTATGGTCTGAACTGGTCTGGTCTGGTCTGGTCTGGTAAACGTCTGGTCTCTGCGTATTTTATAACTATGGAAGTCAGGTCTTGTCTGTTTAAGTCTGGTCTGATCTGGTCTGTTTAAGTCTGGTCTGGGACTGAAAACTGTCCAAAAGAAAACATCCTAAGTTTGTTAACACTCAAATCCACTGTATTGGCCTTCTATTGAAATTTATGAAATTCTGACTAAAATGACTGAATAGTTTGATTCTTCTAGTTTATGAAAATATTATATCTAAATGTTTTACTAATTAAAAAATGTGAAAAATAGCTAAAATCCTCTAAAATAACTTCAATCAATACAGTCAGAAAAGTAATTTCAACCTTTTTTTTAAATATAACACAATTCAACGCGCACAATCAAAAGGTGTTCTCGTGGTGACAAGAATACAATAACTTTTAGAACAAATTAAAGTTGTCCACTCAGCAATATGTCTCCGGATATTTGGTAAAGTGTACAACTCTCAAACTTGACTAATCTCTTCACGATCAAAAGTGTACTTGTGTAAAAGTGTCCAAAAACAATAAATATTTCTCAAAATCATTCAACATGATATTATAATCAAGTGTGAAATCCTAGATCGAATGAAAAGTAGATTTTGATATGTATGAATGAATAGGTCTTTACTAATTTTGTTATACTTTAATTTAAGAGGTGAGCATATATATTGCGGCTTTTTTAATTTCAGATTCTTAATTTTATTCGAAAGGCACTTCGTTCAATTCTCAATGTAATGGCCATAACATTTCCATTAATTGGTTCGTGAATTGGATCTAATATTTTAACAAAATTCTTTCGCAAATTTGCAGTTTCGATGCATTTGAATTTTGAACCTAAATTGTAAAAATATATCTAAATTGCCAACGGACAAACACAAACTCTTCAAATTTATGGGACCAAAAGCAGTGTTTTTTCATCTAGAACAATGATGTATTGGTATTTATATGAACACGTATTCTGGTACTAAAAAATACTCCGTACTACGTATAAGTTATATTGTTTTGCACTTTTAAAACATGTTCTCTAGACTCTAGGACTCAATTAATTAGCAAGTTCGATATATTTCATATTTCATTTATAATATTACATGTTCTAATCTTATTTACGGAGTATTTATTTATTTAATATAAGTGACATTCATATTTGGTTTACACGTTAACAAATGATTTAATGTGCGCTATTCATTTAATTTAAATAAGTATAATATACACTCTCCAGGTCTACTTTTTTTCTTTTTTTTGGAACATCTCCAGGTCTACTTAGATATTGTACGGAGAAATAGACTAAGGATGTTTTCTTTTGGACTGAAATTTGCTGGTCTGGTCTGATCTGGTCTGTTTAAGTTTGGTCTGGTCTGGTCTGGTCTGGTAAACGTCTGGTCTCTGTGTATTTTAAAACTATCCAAGTCTGGTCTGGTCTGGTCTGTATAAGTCTGGTCTGGTCCGGTCTGGTCTGTTTAAGTCTGGTCTGGTCTAGGACTGAAAAACAGTCCAAAAGAAAACATGCTAAAGCTAAAATAAAAGTTTCACAGAAGATGTGCTGATTTTAGAGTGCATTTAATTAGTTCATTCCAAACCTATAATTAAATCCCTAAAATTAAGATTTTAAAATTTTCATAATATTACTTCGAATCCTTATTAAGTATTTCATAAAATTAAGTATTCATTAAGACATTAAATAAAAACTACGTAGTACAAACATGTGATTATAATTAAGGGCATCCTTATGTATGAGATTCTTTGAAAAAACATATCCATGAGATTTTCAGAAGATGGTGTTGATAGTAATTATGGCCGATTATTTGAAGATTATTAATGAAATTAGATCCAATTAATTCGTAGCCGATGGTTGAAGGTAAGGGCATCACCATCCATAAGATTATTAAGTGATTATTCTAGTGACATGGCAGATTATTTGGGAGAGCATGGTTGAGTGAGAGAGATTATTGGACAGAATTAATTAATAGAATAATCCGAGATCAAAATATGAAACCGGATTATTTTGAGATTATCTATGAAATTAGAGTTAATTAGTTGCTACAGGACCCACAAAAGATCAGATTATTTCGGGATGATGGTTGAAGGTAATTCGGAGGGGATGAGATTATTTCCAAAACATTTATGTGGAAAATTTTAAAAGGTAAGAGTCACAAATAATCAGATTATTTTAAAATCATGAATGTGGATGCTCTAATTGAGAGAGTTTGAGATTATTTCTAACAAACTATTACTTCGTTCTTAAATAAGTGTAAAAATCAATTTTTAGCGTTTTCTAATCGGTGTACAATCTTGACCATTAGTATAACACTATAATTATCTATTAGTAAAACATAAAAATACACATTTTAAATTTTTACGAAGAGACATATTTTAAAGATTATCCTTTTGTATTTAAGGAAATAATTAGCATTTTAAAATAATAATTTAATCATCAAATATTAAAAAATACATCTATAACATTATACGGAGTATTAATCATAAATAATCCATTATATTATGTACTCATCAAAATTATTTTCCAAACTATACTCAAGTTAACATATTTAATTATTGTCTATATAATCATACAATTTTGTCGTAAGAAACCTGAAAACGGGACAGATATAATAATAAATAAAACGTAATCAAAGTAGACCTATATGAATATTAAATATAATAAAATCCAACATTAATGTAAAAAACGAAGGTAGTACGTGTCAATAATTTAGATGTAAAAAATATAAAAAATCAGATTAAGTAGAAATCATAAATGTCAATACTCTAACATCATATTAAAAGATCTTTTGAGATATCTTACATTCCTAAATTTAAGCCTAGAAGTCAGTCATTCTTCAAAAATTTCCAAAGAAATTACGGACAGTATCAATTCAGTATCAAGTTCCCGCGCGGTAACTATATATAAATGCTTACTCTATTAAACCCTAAAACAGTAATTAAGTTTCTGACTTTAAGATTAAGGTTTTTTTTTTGTAGAACAAACTTCAATTCTACAATTATCTCTTCGACAAAATCATATAATGTCGGAAGAAAAGATGTTCCAAAAGAAGAAAGAAACGAGAGGGCGGCAGAAGATCGAGATAAAGACGATCCAAAACCACGCAAGCCGCCAGGTCACCTTCTCCAAACGCCGCGCCGGAATTTTCAAGAAAGCGGCGGAGCTCTCCGTCCTATGCGGCGCACAGGTCGCCGTCATAGTCTTCTCTCCCAAGGGAAAAGTCTTCACCTTCGGGGACCCGAGCATGGAATCCGTGCTCCGCCGGTTCCAACCCACCGCCGAGCCTCTCGGCGGGCCTCCGGCTCTTCCACCGCCGCCGCCGTTCACGGTGGCGCGTGAGATAAGCGCTCTGGAGGAAGAGAGAAAGAGGCTGCAGGAGGAAGAAACGAGACACTGGACGTGGGAGGGCATAAATGTCTTTTGGTGGAATAGGGATATTAATGAAATGGGAATAGAAGAGTTGGTGGATTACAAAGCTGCATTGGAAGCATTGAAGGCTAATGCTGTAATGAGGGCCAGAGGTAATATGGGTGTGAGAAGACTGGATAACTCTGTAGACTGCGGGGGCAACATTGGGTTTTCTCATGATCCATGGCTGCTTCCTTCCACTTCTGTTTTTTCTTTGACAAATTAACTTTTACTAGTCCTCCATATGGGCAAAGTAAGCTTTTTGGAGCAAATAATTTCTTTTTATCCATTTAATTAGGATATAAGTTTATAATTATATTCTGTTTTGGATTTTGCAATTTTATAGAGATTTTAATGTACTGAATTTCTAAGTATGTAAATTTTAATCCTTTTGTATTAAAACTGATTAATTATTAATAAGGAGATTTAATTTTAACACTGAGTGACAAAAAGTGGACTTTAAAATCAAATTGGGAGGGGTGTAGTACTCCTTAAAAGTTGTTTGATGAATATA